GATTTCCTGTGCGTGGGTGTTACCTTCTAGGTTAATTCTTTTTGATCTAACCTTTTCTCTAGTACCTGTTCCCCTTTTCCTATTGGCCTCAGTAGCCTCAAGGTATCTGCCTCAGTTTCTCTGCGTTAAGGGCAACAAATGTCCTTTTTTATTTGGTTAAAGGCAGATTTTAGCATGGTGAATCCAACTTCAATTACTTAAAATAATTAATTAATTAAGTAATTAATAATTACTTCAAATTACTTCAAATATAAGTATTTGTTTCTTATTTTACTAACAAACCTTATAAAATGTATAAATTATTTACTTGCAAAGACAATTATGTTGATGGCTTTCAAAATAATTTGTTTTTAACAAGTGCTATCCCAAAACAAAGATAGAAGTTAGACCTTAAACTTTGAGTTTTTCTCAATTCCAGTTTTGCTTCAACCTCAAAGATTTCTTAGAATTCTTGAGTTTAGGTACTCATTACTTAAGCAGGGAAAACTGAATGGTGTTCTTAATCTTTCCACTTTCTTTGTAGCTTTTCACATAAAGCAGCTTCTATTACTGCCACAATTTTATTTCCAAAGTTAATTTGTGGCTCTATCACCAAAACGATCGTGTTCCCATAAATGTGTCCTATCGGTCACAGGAAACTGGGCAGAATACAGACTTCCATATACCAGTTATTTCTCAGGCAATCACCTTTTATCTCCCTGAGTTGAACCATTAGGAAAATCTAATCCCATTTTTGTTCATCTCTCTTACAATAGGAACCAAAAGACATTTAGTCTTCCTGTTTCCCTTGAGACCTGAATGCTATGTCACTCAGACACAGGAAGCTATGCATTGAGATCTCAGTTCACACCCCACTACACTCCTCACCAGGCTCCTCACAGGAGCCAGTTATTCTTTGATGCTCAAGAAATGGTTGTTTTTCTGCCTTTTCTGCAAGCTCTGTTAAAAGAAAATGTAGGTGCCACACATTTCCAAACCAGGCAATGCAGTTATCAGATGAATGGGATTCTGTGAAATCTCAGTTCTTCTCTCATAAGTGCTTATCCTTTTTTTCTTCCCTTGATCTGAAATCACTCCATTCTCTCAATTTCATCACCTGTTCTTTAACTGTTAAATGTGGTATGAATTATACTACTACTAGCTTTTAAAATTTGTTGCTGATACATAATAGGAATGTTCAAATGAATCATCAAAAGGATGTGCATTCTGTTCTGTTCTGCACAATTACTATTTTTCTTATGCTTCTCATAAGTATTTATGCTTATAATGTACAGGCATATATAACAATATAATGAAGAAGCAAAGCACTTCTTCATTAGGATTAACTAGCCAGTGACAGCTGCTAGAAGGTTGAGCTTTAAAGTGTGAGATTGACATGAAATGAAGGAGACACAAAGGCAGGAAAAAAAAGGCCCTGGCTGTCTTCTGGCTTACTTAATTTTTACTAATGGGACATTTCCTAGAGCCTCTTTCCTTCCTGCTGGTGAACTGCATGCTTCAAACAAGAAGCTCTGCTGAACTATCTCAGTGCCACATTTTGTGACTGACCCCTATTAGTGTCCCAGTGAATTAGGAATTGAAGAGTAATTATAACTTTCAGTAAAATAAGAAACCACTGTCAGAAGTTTGCATGAGCTTTTAAGTTTCCTCTGACCTAGGATGAATAAATTCATAGAATATAATATTTTTATGCAAGTGAAAATAAGAACAGGGTAAGGATATGAAGTTGATTTTTTCTTATTCTTCATTTTAGTTATTGGCAATAAAACTGCAGAGACATATCCAGGACAGTTTGAGGAGCAGGGTCATCCTTCACTCTCCTTCTTTTCCCAGGTCTTATGCCTAATCAATCACAAAGTCTTACTTACTTTGCCTTTTCAATATTTCTTAGTGATATCCCCATCTCTCTCTTCTTTGTACCATTGCTTTAATTCAGGACTTTTTCATCTGTCTGGAAATTGATATCTAACTAGTTTCCTTGTCTCCATCTTGTTGTGTGAGTTCCATTGCCCACAACAGACTCATCTGCCTAAAGTACAAATCTAATTATATTAGTTCCTACATAAAACTTTGTCATGGTTCCCATATCTCCAGAAAAAGATGCAAATGACTTTCTGGTACTAGGTAACCTCCTTTCTTGCTACTACTCCCTGTAATCTAATTGGTAGTATTTATGTTTCATATGCATGTGCCACTGTGTAACTTACTTCTGGACTTTTTGTTATATTGGACCCTTGGTCTAAAATGCTCCCCTACAAACACCTGCTCCATCTTCCACTTGCTAACTATTCCCATCCTTGGATCCAGTTCAGGTGAGCATCTTCCAGCAAGCTCATCAGCTGCTTACCCCACTGTGGGTTCAGTATTCCCCATTCACACACTCACTGGAGTCTATTACTGCACTTGTCACATTTCAAAGTCTGCCCTGCTTGAATATGAGGGTTTTTTTTAGGTGCATGCTTTGTTTCCTTTGCCGTTTTAGTCTTATTGTTTTCTGCAATTTTATGGCAATCTATTTTAGCCAGGGTCCTCCAGAAAAATAGTAACAATAGGATATATGGAAAGATAGATAGTGGCTCACTTGTTTAGGAGAGCGAAAATGTCCCACATCTGCCATTTGCAAGCTAGAAAACCAGGAAAGGTACTGAAAGTACCTTTCAGTCCAAGTGAAAAAGGCCAGAGATCCTGGAGTTCTGATGTCAGAGGACAGGAGAAGATGACATTCCAATTCCAGAAGGGAGAAAAATGTGTCCTTCCTTCACCTTTTTTTCTATCAATTCAATATATTGGATGATGCTTTCTCACATTGGTTAGGATAGATTTTCTTCACTCAGTGTCCTGTGGCAAATGTTAATCTCTTCTGGAAATACCCTCTAGACTGGAAAAATTATGCATTACCAGTTATCTGGATATCACTTAACCTAGGCAAGTTGACCCATGACATTAACCATCACAGCATCCTTGGTGCTCTTGAAACATTTTCAGTGTGAGTGAATCACACACACTGAAAATGTGACCCTGAAATATACCACCTAACAAATCACTTCATTTCTCTCAGGGTTAGGGTTCTGAATGCACAAATAAAATCAGCTCATTAGCACATATGACAATGAGCTAAAGTAATAAATAAAAAAATTAATTCTCTGCCAAAAATGGGTTGTGTATAGGAAATGTTTATGCAAAGTTGTTGTAATTATTTTACTTATAAGATTCTTCCAAAACAGATTTAAAATCCATCAGATTTTTTGTAATTTTTATTGTG